CTATTCCTCCCTCCCTCTGCAGTAGAGCCAACCACGGTGCCATGAAATTTGCCGCTGTTATCCTCTGATAGGCCATTCCCCTCAATAGTATCTAAAATGGTATATCTGTTTTGTACGAAATAGCCACAGGAGATTCCTGCACTGCCTTCACTTTATAAGCAACAAGTAACAATTTATTTATTTAACCCTAACAGTGAACACAAGTCCCACTAACATAACCCAAATAATAAGAAAATAAATTAAAACTTAGTCTCTCAAAGTCTACACACCTTTCTTCTGCTGTTCTCAAGTCATAAATGCCTTTCTTCTGCTGATCCAACTGTCACAGATGTTTTCTCCATGAGGCCTTCTGTGAGGGCTCTTAGCTAGAAGTGTTGTGGTACCTTTAATGGATAGATGGTACTTTCTTAGAGAGCTTAACGATTTCTTGTGAGAGCCAAATGCTTATTTCTCAGAAGGTTGTTTGCTTTCACACCGATTTTCAAAAAACCCTCACCTTATATACCTTGGATGACATTTCAATTTTCTTACCATAGCATTGGCCTGCGGTTGTCAAAACCATCAGACTTAAATTCAACTGGCTTTCAATTGCTCAGTGCTTGGTTTAAATTAATTGCCTGATTCCAGCTAGTTGCGAAAACATCAAAACAAGCCTTAGGTTTCCAATCACAGCCAATTAATACATGTTTCAATTTCAGAACTGTCCGTACCCCTTCAGCTGCTTAGACACATTTTCTGTATAAATCTCTAGAAAAGCACTTTATCTCGTAAAGGAGGCATGCACTCTTCTTCCTTATCATTTTTAATAAAAAAATTCTAGCTTCCTGCCTTCCAATTCACAACTACTGCACACAACTTCATAACAATATCTCCAAATTTGTAGATGACACTAAGCTGGGTGGCAGTGTGTGCTGTGAGGAGGATGCTAAGAGGCTGCAGGGTGACTTGTACAGGCTGGCTGAGTGGGCAAATACATGCTAAATGTATATCATAGAATCATAGAACCCCTACAGTGCAGAAACAGGTCCTTCGCCCCAACAAGTCCATACTGACCCTCAGAGCATCACCCCTCAGACCCATTCCCCTGTAACCCAACAAATCTACACATCCCTGAACACTACATGCAATTTAGCATGGCCAATCCACCTAGCCTGCACATCTTTGGATTGTGGGAGGAAACCGGAGCATGGGGAGAAAACCCACGCAGACACGGGGAGGATGTGCAAACTCCACACAGACAGTCACCCGAGGGTGGAATCGAACCCGGGTCCCTGGCACTGTGATGCAGCAGTGCTAACCACTCAGCCACCATAATGTGGATAAATATAAGGTTATCCACTTTGGTGGCAAAAAAACAGAAAGGCAGATAGTTATCTGAATGATGGCAGTTTAGAAAAAGGTAGGTGCAATGAGACCTGGGTGTCATGGTAGAGCAGTTGTTGAAGGTTGGCATGCATGTGCAGCAGGTGGTGAGGAAAACTAATGGCACGCTGGCCTTTATAGTGAAAGGATTTCAGTATCGGAATAGGGATGTCTTGCTGCAGTTATACAGGGCCTCGGTGAGGCCACACCTTGAGTATTGTGTAGAGTTTTGGCCTCCTAGTCTGAGGAAGGACATTCTTGCTATTGAGGAAGACCAGGAAAGGTTCACCAATCTGATTTCTGGAATGGCAGGACTGACATATGAGAAAAGGCTGGATCAATTGTGCTTGTACTTGCTGGAATTTAGAAGAATGAGGGGGGATCTCATAGAAACATATAAAATCCAGATGGGAATGGACAGGCTAGATGCAGGAAGGATGTTCCCGATTTTGGGGAAGTCCAGAACTTGGGGTCACAATCCAAGAAATGAGGAAGAATTTCTTCAATCAAAGAGTTGTGAACCAGTAGAATTCTCTCCCATAGGAAGCTGTTGGGGCCAGTTCATTAGATATATTCAAGAGGGAGCGGGAAGTGGCCCTTGTGGCTAAAGGGATCAAGGGGTATAGGAAGAAAGTGGGAATGGAACACCGAGATTGCATGATCAGCCATGATTGTATTAATTGATGTGCAACTTCAAAGACCAAATGGCCTACTCCCGCACCTATTTTCTAAGTTTCTATGTAAAGTTTAGGAAGCTAAAATCAGACAGGGTACATGAGGAACATAAAGAAAGCAGGAATGAACTCCAGCAGGAAATGAGAAGAGCAAGGAATGGCATGAAAAGAATCCCAAAGCATTCTATATATACATTAAAAGGATAACTGGGGAGAAGGCAGGACCACTCAAGGATAAAGTAGGGAACTTGTACTTGGAGGCAGAGGATGTGGACCAGATCCTAAATGAATACTTTGTGTTGGTATTCACCCAGAAGAATTTCTGGCTGGAGGTGATGAGTGGTGTTCCACAGGGATCCACACTAGGACCTCTGCTGTTTGTGATCTACATAAATGACTTGGAATGAAAATGTAGATGGGTGCATTAGTAAGTTTGCAGATGACACAAAGATCGGTGGAATTGTGGATAGAGTAGAAGGTTGTCAAAGGATACAGCGGGATATAGATCAGTTGCAGATATGGGCAGAGAAATGGCAGACGGTGTTTAATCCAGCCATGTGTGAGGTGCTGCACTTTGGGAGATCAAATATTAAGGAAAATTATACGTTAATTGCAGGACCCTGAACAGCATTGATGTACAGAAGGCGTATGGCATGCTTGCCTTTATTGGGTGGAACACAGAGCACAAGAGTCAGAATGTCATGAGGATGTCATGTTGAAGCTTTACAAGATTTTGGTTAGGCCCCAATTAGACTGTTGTGTTCAATTCTGGTTGCCACATTCACAGGAGGGATGTGGAGGCTTTGGAGAGGGAGCAGAAGTGGTTTACCAGGATGCTGCCTGGATTAGAGGGTGTGAGCTATAAGGAAAGGCTAGGAAAACTCAGGTTGTTTTCTCTAGAGAGGCAGATGCTCAGAGGAGACTTGGCAGAAGTCCACAAAATTATGAGATGCATGGTTGACAGTCAGAATCTTTTTCCCAGAGGGGGCATGCATTAAAAGTGAGAGGGGGAAAGTTCAAAGGAAATGTGAGGTGCAAATTTTTTTACAAGAGTGATAGAGTCTGGAACACACTGCCAGGGATGGTGGTGGAAGCAACTACAATATGGGTATTTAAGAGGCTTTTAGATACAAGGATATGGTTAAGGGCAGGCAAAACAGACTAGTTTAATTTAGCATCAGGTTTGGCATAACATAGTGGATTGAAGGGCCTGTTCCTGTGCTGTACTATGTTAAAAAGAGCAGGTAGAGCAGTTGCTGCTACAAGTGTACAGACTGAGAAAGGAGGACAGTAAGTGACCTCCATTCATAATGTAATTAGAGGACAATTCAACTCCTCTGATAGACCTCCATCTGAGCCTCCAATCTTGCATTCAAAAGTCTATGACCTCTCCTTTGATCCTACAGTCATCGTGCAATGTCTCACTCTGTGCCAGCTAGAGCACTCTATATGTTCTATGGCATAATTGGAAAACATGCATGTGCTAAGACTATCATAATTAGGTTTAAGGGTACATTTTTGCCAAATATTTTAATCATTAAAGAGCTTTTGAGATCTACTCTACAGTTATAATTTCACCAAAGTGCCACTTGAGTGCTAAACCTGCAAGTAAAGAGTGCTAACTTGGCATGGTGGCACAGTGGTATGCACTGATGCATCACAGTGCCAGGGCCCCAGGTTCGATTCTACCCTCAGGTGACTGTGTGTGGAATTTGCACATTCTACCCGTGTCTGCGTTTACTCCGAGTGCTCTGGTTTCCTCCCACAGTCCAATGATGTGCTAGTTAGGTAGATTGGACATGCTAAATTGCCCATAGTGTCCAGGGATGTGCAGGCCAGGTTGATTAGCTATGGTAAATGTTCTTCAAAGGGTTAGTGTGATGAGCCGGATAAAAACCGAGGAAGTGCGGATGCTGTAAATCAGGAACAAAAACAGAAGTTGCTGGAAAAGCTCAGCAGGTCTGGTAGCATCTGTGAAGAAAAAAATCAGAGTTAATGTTTCGGGTCCGGTGACCCTTCCTCAGAACTCAGAGGAGCCGTATAGTTTACTTCCACACTGTAGTGATTCTATGATTCTAATCTGGGTTAGCACCCCTACGTAAATTCAAATACTGCAATCAGAACTAAAAATGTGCCAAATCCAACCTCTCAGATTGGCTAATCTTATTAGTACTGCATCCACTTAGCTTCATTTCACCCTATAGCAAAATATCCTCCCTTAATATCTGCTTGGAATCAGCAATAATTTTGACGAATTTTGTTTTGATTGTTAGCAAAACAAAACAACCTCAATATCAATTTTCTAAATGTATTAATATCTAAATTTTAACTACAATCAAAACATACTTGCTGAATAAATTGCTCATCTATTTCCAGCAAGACCTATCTGTTCAAATTGAGCCAAAGACTCATGAAACGCTATGGATTCTGCAATACAGTGATTTATCAAGACATTGACAAATTAAATAAATGTTGATATAAATGTATGATTGTAACAAAAAAAAAACTCAATTCCACAATCATGAGCCAATAAGAACCTTTACTTAGACAACTGCCTTAGAAGCTGACTGCAAATAGAAGTCGTCAACAATTATGCGAAGCAACCAATTGAAATTTCACTTAGTCCCTGTTAATATTCGAATTGCAAAAGTATCATACATGATATTGAACAAATATCAATTCCATCCTGGTTCTCTGCATTTAAAATTTGGCAACAAGATTGTCTAATTAATTGAAACTATGAGGGATGGAATCCTGAAACAGATCATCAGCTTCCTATTTATGCCTGTTTCCAAGACCAATGTCTGGGAAGAATCTCAATTTGAATTGATCGCTGAACAGAATTAGATAGGTATTTTAGGTCCCTCTAACCAATAAGGTAACAAGTCTGTTTTTACTCCCTCTCAGTCATTTCTGCAGAGCATAAGCCACGGAGGATGACAAAATCTTCATTCATACACCACATTAAGCATTATAAAAAGCCTTTAGTTCACTTTTTAGTGCAGCATAGCTTTCTGAGTTACAAAGATAGCAGACTTCCAAATGCCCTTTTGGGTGGCAGGTTTACAATCTTGCATTAACAAAATGTCCAGTTTTGTACCCTTCTATTAACTCTCGGTGGCTTTTTTACTAACCTGTCAACAGCAGTAGTAATAGAGAAACATAAAATATTGATATGCGAATGATAATACGTTGTCAAATAAGTTCCTGTCTTTATTTAATGCTACACCAAATTACCATTAACGTTCTTTTTCAAGGGCAATGCTAATAAGTGATAAAGTTCTGCCCTCATTTTTCTTTAATTTGAGAAGAATTTTGCATTACATATTCAGAATTTCAAGTCCATTCCAGTTTAAGCAGAGTGGATTGAAATGCTTAAATCAATGGAGTCAAACATTACTCAACACATTTCCACAAAGCTGAAACAATGGCATTATGGTGACATTAGGGTTCAAGTTTCTGAAATTAATCCTTTATTCATCACCCTTCAAATAATAAATATGTCCCATGGCATTTTAACATAAACTTATTTCAAATGTATTCTGTTGAAAATAAGGGATGAATACAAAATAAAATGTAAAATATGTACTTTTGCAAAAATACTGAATGCCATTTATTGGATAATTGTGGAGAATGTTGATGTAGGCTACAAGATTGACCTTCTTATCATTGGCAAGTTTTAAAATAAAAGATTTAAATATAAAAGAATCACATTGTAGTAAATGTTTAAGGTAGAAAAACTAATTTGTATTTTTCTTAAAATTATGATGCTCAAAATCATACATATTATGGCTCTAATCAGTATTTACTGAAGTTATTTCTGAACACAGAGAAAATAACATAAATCAGCTTGTATATTTTGTGTTCCATCCCATAGAAGCCTTTTTTTCTATGTCTTATTATCATTCCCCCGTGTATCGGGGCAGTCGCTTTTCTTTAAAAGCATTAAGTCCTTCGATCCTGTCTTTTGTTGGAATGACCTGCAATTTAAAACAAAAAGTTGAGATTCTGAAATCAGGCTCATTGAATTGCTAGACAAGGGAAAGCAGCCTGCTGAGGTAAATACTGGAGGAGTTTATACCCTTCTAATCAGTCCTGACTTTTGCAGAGTTTATTCCCTAATTTATAAACACAAACACAAACAATGTTTTTGCTTACAGCCTAGCATAACATTAATGTACAATACAATGTGTGCAAAAACTATCTTGCGAAAAAAGCATAGTCATTTCTATACACAGTTGTTGGAAACGGTGTTTCATCTAAAGTCCTGAGTCAATGTTTTCTAATAATCTCTTAGTATTTTCAACTACATAATGGGCAAGAACAATTCTATTATGAAGTGATCACTCCCGATGCAATTTCCTCCTGTAGGTGACCTCCTGGGAAAGAATGCATCAGAAACACCATAAAGCTACTGAACTGAATCTAATTGCTTCAAAAGTAATGTGATTATGCTCAAACCTACAAATTGGACTGATTATATGCTGCTGTTCACACTTTATACTTCTTGCCTTTCCATATTCCATTGCAATTCCATATAAATGCAAAAGCATAGCAATAAAGGAAGCAAGCTGAAAATAGGCATCAATACATGTTTATTCAATGATAGATAATTGTATGACTAAAATCTGAAGAGGGAATTGAAATAGCATTTTTCTAATTGTTTATCTACATGATTAATAATTCATACACTGTTTTTCAATGTTAGAAGTACAGGCATGCTGCACAAATGGTCATTAATAATAATTTTACAAAAATTATTGTTTTGCTTATTTTTCTCTTTCTCCAGGACTTTGTTGTATGATGTAAAGTGTGCAATATATACCATTTATTTTAAAGTCTGGAATTTTGAACTGGTGGCATGTGGGTTTTGGTCTTTAGATATGTGTGTTTGATAATTAACTTGATAGTTTTTCTGGATCCATACTTCTTTTTAAACTAGTATGAGAGAAACAGGCTTTCTGGAGTGTTGGTAGCTTGTTTCCATTGGGAAAGCTTTATGAGTGTACAGAGTCTTACGTCAGTGGTGGGCAAATTATTGGAAAGGGCTCTGACAGACAGGATTTATGATCACTTGGAAAGGCACAGTTTGATTCGTGATAGTCAGCATGGATTTGTGAGGGGTGGATCATGCCTCACAAACATTATTGAATTCTTTGAAGAGGTGACCAAACACGTGGATGAAGGTGGAGCAGTGGATGTGGTATACATGGATTTAAGTAAGGCATTTGATAAGGTTCCCCATGGTAGGCTCATGCAGAAGGTGAGGCGGCATGGGATAGGGGGACATGTGGCAGATTGGATTCAGAATTGGCTGACCCTTAGAAGACAAAGGGTGGCAGTGGACGGAACATATTCAGCATGGTGCTCAGTTACGAGTGGTGTACCACAAGGATCTGTCCTGGGTCCTCTTCTATTTGTGATTTTTGTAAATGATTTGGATGAAGGAGTGGAAGGGTGGATTAGCAAGTTCGCGGACGATACAAAGGTGGGTCACGTTGTGGACAGTGCGGAAGGTTACAAAGGGACATTGGTAGAATGCAGAGCTGGGCTGAGAAGTGGCAGATAGAGTCAAACCCTGAAAAGTGTGAGGTGATTCATTTTGGAAGGACAAACTTGAAAGCAGAACACAGGGTTAACGGAAAGATTCTTGGCAGTGTGGAGGAGCAGAGGGCTCTTGGGGTTTATGTTCACAGTTCCCTGAAAGCTGCCACCCAGGTGGATAGAGTTGTTAAGAAGGTGTATGGTGTGTTAGCTTTCATTAATAGAGGGATCGAGTTCAAGAGCCATGAAGTTATGCTCCAGCTATACAAAAGCCTGGTTCGGCCACATCTGGAGTATTGTGTCCAGTTCTGGTCACCTCATTACAGGAAAGATGTGGAAGCGTTGGAAAAGGTGCAGAGGAGATTTACCAGGATGTTGCCTGGAATGGAGGGAAGGTCTTACGAGGAAAGGTTGAGAGAGCTAGGGCTTTTCTCTTTAGAACGACGAAGGATGAGAGGTGACTTGATAGAGGTGTACAAAATGATCAGAGGTATAGATAGAGTAGACGGCCAGAGACTTTTTCCTAGGGTGGAGGTAGCTTATAGGAGGGGACATAGTTTTAAGTGAGTGGAAGTAGATATCAGGGAGACGTCAGAGGTAGGTTCTTTACTCAGAGAGTGGTAGGGGCGTGGAATGCATTGCCGGAGAGGGTAGTGGAGTCGGCCTCAATAGGGGCATTTAAGTGGCTATTAGATAGGCATATGGATGATTGTATAAGGTAGCGGTGGAGGTTAGATAGACTTTAGGATTAGGGTAAAAGTTTGGCACAACATCGTGGTTCTTTGTTTTATGTTCTAGAGTAAACAATCAAGGACAATAATTTGTCTCTGTTGGAATGAGCTAGCATTTTTTTTTACTTAGAGGAAACACCTATAGCAGTTCATAGACATTCTTTTTGAATGTAGAGATATGAAAGGGAAAAGAGTTCACAAAAGTTAGGCAAGCAATTAAGATTTTGTTTAACTCTTTTTTACTTCACTGATTATGTCATTATGCATATATTGTTCTGAAACTTAATTAAATACATTCAACAAGTATAAGTTAAAAGCTCTGCTAGCAAGGGATTGAAAATGTGTTAATGATCAAGGTTGTTAATAGGGGAGGAAGGGTCACTGGACCCGAATGTTAACTCTGATTTTTTTCTTCACAGATACTGCCAGACCTGCAGAGCATTTCTAGCAACTTCTGTTTTTGTTCCTGATTTACAGCATCCGCAGTTCTGTCAGTTTTTATATGATATATAGCTGTGCCGGATTCAAATCTGCCTGCGAGAATGTAACATGGCCAAAAATTGTGCCTGAGGAATGCTGGGGGTTAGGTTTTACTTAAGGCTGTTCTGTTAAGGATTGAACTTGTTCTTGGAGTGTCTCTAGGGATGTTCCCAGACTCCACTGGAAATTCCGCTTGACTCTTTTCTCGAGGTTTGGAGGATTCTGGTGAAGATACTATCAGCAATAGATTAACATGAGAATCCTCTATGATTTTCACAAGGTTGGTGGGTTAGCATTCAGACAATGGAGGCTTCTTTGTATTCTTGTTGAATGGTTCCTTGTTCCGACATACACTGAAAGAGTTCAAAGAACTTTTCAGGAAACACTGATCATCAGCCCTATGGACCTCAGCTGAGATAGCATCAGTTCCTGGAGCTTTGCAATGACACAGGAATTTCTGACAGTGTTGGAGGTGGGCCAGAGCCCCAGGCCTGGACAATTAGGCCTGAAACCAGAATGGGAAACCTTTGAGCAGCCAGTTCCAATGGGACTATTGGGACAGGTCAAGCACAAAGCATCTGCACAAGTCAAAGATGGACAGGGGCAAGCCCAGACTTGTTCTGGAAAGTGAGACTGGTTTATGTGTATTGGAATATGATGAGTAGATTTACCAGGGTCCGGGTTCCTGCCATGACCATGTATAGAGGGCGAGGTGTGCCCTTGACACATTGGAGGATGGACATCATATTCCATATTCCCCAGCATATTCCTTATGTGGCATCGGATATGCCATTGGACACCGTGACTTCAACCTGGAAGTTCAATTGGCTGAGGACCAGTGAACATTTTGGAAGGATGCAGAAAGGGATAAGAACAGGCACCTTGTAACCACACTTGTAAAGTCTTGACCTGGCCTAACAGCAGAGATCTGACCAAATGGAGAAAGAAAAAACCAATACGCATGAGACGAAACTTCACCAAGTTCATCAGAGCCGACAACACAGCCTAGCCAATTTCAACTGCATGTGAAATACCTGGTCCTTGTCTGGTAGCCAATAATAGTTTAGATAAGGATTATGACAAAGATTGGGATTGGCAGAGTAGTTAAATGTAAGAATCTGGAGTTTTATAGCGAAAGAGCAAGGTTCTAGATAATATTCAGCTATATTTGGTCTTTTGCATCTTTAGTGTATTTTGTGAGTAAAATTGCGATGAATTGCAAATCAACTCTAACCCTTTTGTTCATCAAAAATAGTACCTGAGTAAAATGAGTTTATGTAAAAAGTGGTCGAAGGTGTCCAATGCATGGACAACATTGGCATCCCTGGATCAGCTTTGATAAGAAATGGCCAATGGTTACACCGATGTTGAACCCCACCAGCCTTGTATTCTTGAATGTCCAGCCTGAATCTTCATTAAGAGAGCAGCCAGTCAACATGACAGCCAGGATTCAAGTGCCAGCACATGATTAAAGTCCGAACTTGCAGTCAAGGAAGGGACAATGTGCACTTTCAGAGTCACAGAGGTAGAACAGGGAAAAGCAACATGGTGGGACAAAGAGGAGGAAGCATATTGATATGCCGAGAATCACAAGGGATGGGGACCCCAACACCCTCAGTCCCCTCAGCACTCAGCCCCACTGCGCTTCAGCAAAGAACCCATATCCCAGACAATCATAGAGACCCTTTTGATCCAGATGAACACTCTTAACCACTTGTCACTAAAATTGGCTTCGGGCTATGAATATTACTGACACCATCCCGTTCATGGTGGCACAATTGGTACAGGGGACCTAAAAATTCCTGCCTTTGAACTCACCTCAGACTCCTATATATTCTCTGACAACTCCTACTGACAGTGAATTTTGGACAGACTGATGAGCTTGAGAAAATCAAGTTGATATTAATGTGTTTGAGTCCTGCAGTCCCCTTTGCTTAGCACCATCCACAAAACATGGGCAGAGGGTAACTCGAGGAAATGAAAACTGTAATTCTAATTGCAATTGGTCACAATGGAGGGGACACCATAGACAGGATAAATAAGTGCCAGCAAAAGGAAGGGGAACACCCAGCTGCATCTTCCAGGCACTTAAGGACAATTCACTGCTACTTTTGGACAGCTGGACGGAACATAGCTCACAGTGCAGAATAGGTCAATTGGACCAGGACCCTGGTCTCACATGGTACTGAAGAGAGTAGGGAGGCCCGTGATAGTTTTGACCCTGC